GCCAGGCGCGGTGAACCCAGGCGTCCGGGAGCCTCGGCGCGTGCACCGGGCGCATTCCTGGCGCCTGAAGCGCGGGGCGGCCGGCCGGGAGCTTCCGCGCACTCCCCTTCCTCCCGCTCCTCTTCCTCCGGCTCCCTCCGGCCTCCGTTTCCTTTTTCCGACAGGGAGGGCGACTTCGGTGGCGGCCGGGGGGGCGCATAAAACCGCTGAAAATGGTGGGAAAAAAGAATCACCGCGGGGCCTTTGACCCCGGGAAACTGGGATAGGAGCCGTGGGCGGAAAAATGTCACCGCAGGGCACTGGCCACGGGGGCACTCGTGTCACAGGGGGGCAGTGGGTGACAAAATTCCCAGCCAGGCGCTGACCCCCGTCGCCGTCTCCCCGCAGTGGTGCTGCTGGACTTCGCCAAGGCGCAGGGCGAGCTGGGCTGGCTCACGCATCCCTACGGCAAAGGGGTAGGTGCCCGCGGGGCGGCCGGCGGCGGCACCGGGACACCCCCCGACGCGGCGCCTCCTTTTCCGCTTTTCTCCCCCGTTCCGGCAGTGGGACCTGCTGCAGAACGTCATGAACGACTCGCTCATCTACCTGTACGCGGTGTGCAACGTGCTGGAGGGCGAGCAGGAGAACTGGCTGCGCACCAACTGGATCTACCGCAGCGAAGCGCGCCGCCTCTTCGTGGAGCTGCGCTTCACCGTGCGCGACTGCAACAGCTTCCCCGGTGCCGGCGCCTGCAAGGAGACCTTCAACCTCTACTACGCCGAGTCCGACGTCGACTACGGCACCAACTTCCAGAAGCGCCTCTTCAAGAAGATCGACACCATCGCCCCCGACGAGATCACGGCGCGCGACGACTTCGCCGCGCGCAGCGTGCGCCTCAACACCGAGGTGCGCTCCGTGGGGCCGCTCAGCCGCAAGGGTTTCTACCTGGCGTTCCAGGACCTGGGCGCCTGCGTGGCCCTGCTCTCCTGCCGCGTCTACTACAAGAAGTGCCCGGCCGTGCGCCGCGGCCTGGCCGCCTTCCCCGAGACGGTGGCGGAGGGTGTTTCGGGGACAGGCACCCCCTCCTTGAGCACAAGTGCACTGAGCGCAGCAGGGCTCAGCTGGGGCAGCATGGGGAAAACTGGGGAGGAGAAGAGCTGCCTCCGGGTTGTTTTATCTTTATCCAGGGAATGCTGGATAGTGTGGGGTGACCCCAAGACCCCCCCCTACATCTGTCCTCTCCCCTTCCCACTCCAATCTGGGATGCTCTGGGCCCCTCTTCCTGGGATAACAGCATTCAGGGAAGGGGGAGGATGGATTCCCACAAGGTTTTTGCCCCAAAACGAGCGTCCCTCCTGCTCTCCCCAGAGTGTCCCCCCGGCCCCTTCAAGGCGGAGGCCTCGGACGGCGCCTGCAAGCCGTGCCCGGCGCACACGCTGCCTGCGGCCGCCGGCTCCAGCGCCTGCCCCTGCGAGGACGGCTACTTCCGAGCGCCCGACGAACCGGCCGGCTCCCCCTGCACGCGTGGGTGTCCGCGGGGAACGGGCGGGAGACGGGGACGTAGCGGGAAAGGGAGGCGGGATGGGGGAAACGGACCCATGGGATGGGAAACGGGCACCGGGTGGAGAAGGTGATGTGCCGTATGGGGAAACTGAGGCAGGAAATTGAGGAAGGATGGGGGGAAGTTGGCCATGGGATGGGGAAACTGAGGCAGGGGATACCAGAAACTGCCCTGTGGGATGGGGAAACTGAGGCGGGAAATTGAGGAAGGATGGGGGGAAGTTGGCCATGGGATGGGGAAACTGAGGCAGGGGATACCAGAAACTGCCCTGTGGGATGGGGAAACTGAGGCTGGAAATTGAGGAAGGATGGGGGGAAGTTGGCCATGGGATGGGGAAACTGAGGCAGGGGATACCAGAAACTGCCCTGTGGGATGGGGAAACTGAGGC